TTTGATAATCCAATACGTTTCTTGGAGCTTCATACACGTCTGCAAATTGACCTTCGCCACCTACTACGTAGATCCTTTGACCTATTCTGTTGTACAATACATTGAAATTTAATTTTCCTTCGGCTGCGCTGTAAGCAAGACTTGCATTAATCACATAAGGAGATTGACCAGACATTGGACGAGAACTACGAACAATACCATTTCTGTATTTCTTTTGGTCGCCAATTAATTCCACCTTCGATTGGATGTAAGCAAGATTGGTGTAAAAAGTAATATTCTTAAGAATTTTTCTATCCGCAATAAAGTCCAAATTTTTACGAAGCTCTACCTCTACACCTGCAGAACTTGCTTTATCGTAATTGGCCGTTTTAATATCCGCAGAACCATTAACTGCATAAAATTGATTTTCGATGGTTTTATCAAAACGTTTGTAAAATGCTGATGCAGAAAATACCTCACCTGGACGAGGGAAAACTTCATATCTAAAATCTACGTTGTCAATACGACTGCGTGTAAGATCAGGATTACCAAAAATCAATGTGTTCATTTCATAATCGAAATAAGTAATTGGTGCTACTTCTCTAAACTCAGGACGAGCTACACTACGGAAATAAGACATTCTCAAATTTGCCTTTTCGGTAAGTGCATAACTCATATTTAGCGATGGTAAAACATCATTCCAAACTGGGTCAATAGTCAATGTTTTTGCTAATAAATCTGTTGTTTGTAGATTAAGGTTATATGATTCAAATCGCACACCCCATACAGCTCTTAGTCTTGTATTGATACGATTATCGGACATTACAAAAGCAGAACCTACTGTAGCTTTAGCTGTGTACGCATCGCTTGGTGAGGTTTGATCTACTAATTGAAATATTCCCGAATTGATACTTTCTTGGTTGAAAATTTCTGTTATACTTTTACTTTCAGGAAATGATGAATTTGATGTTGCTCCTAAATACCTATTATTAAATTCGCGAGAACGATACATACCCAATAGACCCACTTTTAAATTGCTTTTGTACAAAAACTTGTAGGGAGTACTATAATTAACTGTAGCATTATAAATAGATTCATTAAGGTCTCCAAACAATCTATTATTCGCACGACCAACCGTACCAAGATTTAGCGAATAAGTACTATCTTTCACTGTACCTAAAAACTGAGCCTTTCTTTGGTCGGGCTGATTATTGGTTACCATATTATAGCTGGCTACCCAATTTAATTTTTTCTGAGCATCACCACCAAGGTGATGTTCACCTTCGAGAGAAGTTTTAAATAGTGATTTTTGAATAAGGTCAAATGCCTTATATTGGATATAGTTTGTAGTGCCGCCATCGTAACCACCTCTAGTTAAGTAGTTGTCGTCAAAAGTTCTATTGTATAGATTTTTAAACGAGATTTTAGAATTTGCTGTTGAGTATGCAAGGTTTGCCAAGGCCCCCAATGTAGTGTTGTAGTTATAAATACGATCTACATAGTTATAGTTGCCATAAGCTCTTTCAACATTCAATTTTGTATTTTCGTTATGTGCATAATTTATTGCGGTAGTCAACCCAATTCTTCTGTTGTTTTTAAGCTCGTACAATCTACCCAAGCTACCTTGTAAAGATATACCTGGCAAGGCATTGCGCTTAGTTACATCATAATTATTATTCAACATCGACAAATATTTTTTCGTTTCGTCGGGTGTTAAATTTTTACCAGCTAGTTCAGTAGCAGTTGGTAAAGTAGAAGGTAATTGACGGCTTCCATTATCGAAACCTAAAATATCGGTAGGGGTTTTGTAACCAGTTTCAAACTGCTTGAAAGTAGAAACAGTATTGTAGGATGAACCGATAGAGATAGTATTGAAATTTTTATCAGGAATTTCTTTTGTCAAAATATTAATCACACCACCTGCAAAATCACCTGGCAAATCGGGAGTACCCGATTTTGAAATCACTATATTATCAATCAAAGTTGAGGGTATGATATCAAAAGAAAAGGCTTTACGATTAGGTTCAGTACTAGGTAAAAATGAATTATCAACTAAAGCGGTATTAAATCTATCGGTCAATCCTCTGATAATCACAAATTTATTGTCTTGAATAGTGGTACCACTAACACGTTTCAATACTTCTCCAGTACTTTTATCTGGAGACTTTTTAATAGCTTCAGCTGAAATACCATCACTAACCGTAGCAGCGTTTTTTTGAGCGATATATAGTGAATTCAATGTTTCTTTTTTCAAGGTAGAACGTACAACAAAATCTTGCAATACATTCATTTTAGATTCTTCTTTTACTGCAACATTTAATGGTGTAATTGATGCGTTTTCTATTTTTATACCTGAAATTTCTTTGGTTGTATAGCCTAGATATTTTACTTGTACTGTATACACTCCTTCAGGCAATTTCAATTCAAATTCACCATCTTCGTCCGAAGCTGTTCCAACAGTCTTTAATTCAACAACAGAGAGCATAACGCCAACTAATGTTTCTCCTGTTTTTTCATCTGTAATTTTTCCTTTTAATGTTCCTTGTGCCCATACATTGGCAACGAATACAAATGAAAACATTAAGGTAAAGATTAATCGCATGTCTGTCTAATTTTTTGCAAATTTCTTCGCCCAATGTTACTGAACTGTAAAGCGAATATTACCGAATTGTTACCGAACGTGTAATGCTTATAGACATGGCATTTCAGAGTATTATCATTTCAATATTTTATTGTAAACACAAACTATTAAAGTCATTTTAATTGATTTTTTAGCCTCATTTGCTAATAACTTTGTCAATAATGAATACAAGACAGTTATTTCAACAGTATTTAGCCCAGACATCTCCCGAGCCAGTAGGATTGCATATTAGTTCTGCAAAAGGCAATTTGCTTTATGATATAAATGGGAAAGAATATATAGACCTTATTGGCGGCATCAGTGTTTGCAATGTGGGACATTGTCATCCTAAGGTTGTTAAAGCGATTCAAAAACAATCGGAACAATACTTACACATCATGGTTTATGGGGAATTGATACAAACGCCACCCATAAAATATGCGCAACAAATTATTGACAAACTACCGCCAAATCTTAATTGCATTTATTTTACCAATTCAGGTAGTGAAGCTTGTGAAGCAGCGATAAAATTGAGTCATAGAATAACAGCAAGACCAAACATTATTGCTGCCAACAATAGTTATCATGGACATTCGATGGGTGCGCTTAGTGTAATGGGTAGTGAATATTGGCGTAATGCTTTTCGTCCTCTATTGCCTGGGGTTTACCATTTTGATTATAATAGCCAAGCATTTATAGACGCTATTAATGAAGATACTGCATGTGTAATCATTGAATCGGTTCAGAGTGAAGCAGGAATAATCGAACCCAATAAAGAATGGCTACAGCAACTTAGGCAAAAGTGTGATGATACCTGCACATTAATGATTATGGACGAAATACAAACAGGATTTGGCAGAACTGGGAAACTTTGGGGATTTGAACAGTATGGTATCGTACCTGATATGATACTGTTAGGCAAAGCGCTTGGAGGAGGAATGCCCATGGGAGCGGTAGTTGCAAGTCATCATATGATGAATACGCTGACACATAATCCTGTACTCGGCCACATGACTACTTTTGGCGGACATCCTGTATGCTGTGCTGCCGGACAAGCTGCTATGGAAGTATTATTTGATGAAAATCTTATTGAGCAAGTAACAGAAAAGGAAAGATTCTTTCATGAGCTATTAATTCATTCTAACATATTGGCAGTCAGGAGTGTTGGTCTATTAATGGCCATAGAATTAAAAAACAAAGAAAAAGTGTTGACGGTATTAGCAAAATGCATAGAAAATGGTGTATTTTCTGATTGGTTTCTGTTTGCCGACAACTGTATTCGTATTGCCCCACCATTAAGCATCACAAAAGAAGAAATAAACAAAGCTTGTCAAATCATTTTGAAGGCTTTAGACTAAATTTAAAAGTGGCATAGTTTTTGAATTGCATTAAAAATTAAAAACAAAACAAGATGATATTTTTACAGATTGACCAGCAAGTAACAAAAAGCCTGAGTTATATAGATAAAATCAAAAATCACTTAATTGATTTTATCCCCAATCTTATTGGAGCAATTCTATTGTTCATAATAGGCAAATGGGTTATTGGCAAAATTAGTTTGGCGGTAACTAAAATTTTCCAAAGAAGAGAATTTGACCCCTCACTAGAGAGTTTTTTAAGCTCGCTCATTAGAGCCTCAATGATGATTTTGTTGTTTATTAGCATCGTTGGTGTTTTAGGAATTGACATCACAAGTTTTGCTGCCCTGCTTGCAGGAGCTGGTATTGCCATAGGTTCGGCTCTCAATGGTTCTTTAGGTAACCTTGCTGGAGGGGTAATGATTTTAATATTTAAACCCTTTAAGGTTGGCGATCAAATAGAAGCCCAAGGAGCAACTGGAGTGGTAACCGAAATAGGCATTTTCAATACTTTTATTACTACAGCAGAAAGGAAAATTGTTATCTTGCCAAATGGTGCCTTGTCTACAGGCGTGATAACCAATTACAATACAAGCGGAAGTTTAAGAGTTGATATTCCTATTGCAATTTCTCCAACAATATCTATAGAGCATGCTAGACAAATTGCCATCAGCACTATGGCAAAACACCCACTAGTTCTCAAAGAGCCTGCCCCTCAAGTAGTCGTTACAAAAATTGGCGATGGCATGATAACTTTAAGCCTTAGGCCCTCAGCTGAGCAAGCAAACTATCCAATAGTATTTGTTGAGGTACAAGAAATGATTAAAAACGCTTTTGATGAAAATGGAATTGAAGGACCAACACCACATCGAATCATTATCAATAAATAGAGAAAAGCTCAAATCTGTTTATTTATCTGTTAATAAATGCCTTTACATCCCAACAAAATGACATTTATAGCAAAATAAACCCGTTCAATCCCCTATTTTTGCAAAAATATTACACTTATTAAAGGAATGAATATAGCTATAATTGGTACAGGTTATGTAGGTTTAGTTAGTGGTACTTGCTTTGCCGAAACTGGAAATAATGTCACTTGTATTGACATTAATGAAGATAAAATAAATCAGCTTCGTCGTGGCGAAACTCCAATATATGAACCAGGCTTAGATGTTTTGCTAGAAAGAAACATAAAGGAAAAAAGAATTTCTTTTACAACTTCATTAGCAGAGGGGATTAAAGATGCTCAAATCATCTTTTTGGCCTTACCAACCCCTCCAGGAAAAGACGGCGCGGCTGATTTACAATATGTTTTGGGTGTTGCCAAAGATCTTAGCAAAATCATAACTAGTTACAAGGTAATCGTAAACAAAAGTACTGTGCCAGTTGGTACTGCCGAAAAGACTACGGCAGTAATGTTAGAAAATTTAGATCATTCATTATTTGACGTGGTGAGTAATCCTGAATTTTTACGAGAAGGAGTAGCTGTTGAAGATTTTTTAAAACCCGACAGAGTTGTAATAGGCACTTCAAGTGATAAAGCTAGAAAATTGATGGACGAGTTATATCAACCATTTGTGCGCCAGGGTAATCCTATATATTACATGGACGAGCGTAGCTCAGAAATGACCAAATATGCCGCTAATTCTTATTTAGCAATGCGTATTTCATTCATGAATGAAATGGCTAACTTATGTGAACGTGCAGGGGCCAATGTAGATTGGGTACGTATGGGTATGGGTAGTGATGGTCGTATCGGTAAGCGTTTTCTATTCCCTGGAGTAGGATATGGCGGAAGTTGTTTTCCCAAAGACGTTCAGGCATTGGCAAGAACAGCTGACGAACATGATTATGATTTTCAAATCGTGAAGTCAGTAATGGAGGTTAATGACCGCCAAAAACTGATATTAGGGAATAAAATTTTGAAGCACTACAAAAATGATATTACAGGAAAAATATTTGCTGTTTGGGGTCTAGCGTTTAAACCCGAAACAGATGATATTCGCGAAGCACCAGCTTTGTACCTTATCGAAACATTATTGTCTAAAGGCGCTGTTGTAAAAGCTTTTGACCCCGAGGCAATGCCCAATGTAAAAGCGATTTTTGGCGATAAAGTCCATTTTGTAGACAACCAATACGATGCTATTATTGACGCCGATGCATTAGTTATTGTGACTGAGTGGAGTGAATTCAGAAATCCTGACTTCAACAAAATCAAATCAAACTTGAAAGAAGCTATCATCTTTGATGGCAGAAATGTTTATGCCCTCGAAAAAATGAAAGAACTAGGATTTCATTATCAAAGTATGGGACGAAATACAATAATATAGAATACTCTAGCATTGTAGTAATGTTTAAATGAACATTTTATACATTGCTAAATAAGCTGTTCATTTTCTACAATATTTAAATTTATTTTCAATAAAAAATCATGTCAAAAAAAAGAGTTTTAGTTACTGGCGCTGCTGGCTTTTTGGGGTCACATTTGTGCGACCGTTTCATTGCTGAAGGTTACGAAGTAGTTGGTATGGACAATTTGCTTACAGGCAATATTCGCAATATCGAACATTTGTTCCCTAATCCTGATTTTACTTTTTATCATCACGATGTGACCAAGTTTGTACATGTACCAGGTCAAATAGATTACATACTTCATTTTGCTTCACCAGCAAGCCCAATCGACTATCTAAAAATGCCTATCCAAACTTTAAAGGTAGGAGCATTAGGCACCCATAATTTATTAGGCTTGGCCAAAGCGAAAGGAGCTAGAATACTTGTAGCCTCCACTTCCGAAGTGTATGGCGACCCATTGGTACATCCACAAATAGAAGAGTACTGGGGCAATGTAAATCCAATTGGACCTCGCGGTGTATATGACGAAGCCAAACGTTTTATGGAAAGCATCACAATGGCTTATCATAATTTCCACGGAGTAGAAACGCGCATTATTCGTATTTTCAACACCTATGGACCACGTATGCGCCTAGATGATGGACGTGCATTACCTACATTTATGAATCAAGCCCTACAAGGCAAAGACATCACCGTTTATGGCGATGGTTCACAAACTCGTTCTTTTTGTTATGTGAGCGACCTAGTAGATGGTATCTATCGTTTATTACATTCTGATTATCATTTACCGGTTAATATTGGTAATCCTGAAGAAATCAGTTTGAAAGATTTTGCCGAAGAGGTTTTGAAATTGACAGGAGCTCAGGTAAAAATTGTTTATGAACCGCTACCTCAAGACGATCCAAAACAACGTAAACCCAACATTACAAAAGCGCAAACGCTACTAGGTTGGGAACCCAAGATAGGCCGAGAAGAAGGTCTTAAAGCTACTTGGGATTATTTCAAGAAGGTATTTTAAAAATAGAACTTCTATTTTCATTCATAGAAACCTTTGTTGTTTATTTATAGCAACAAAGGTTTTTTTATGCATGCAAATGACAGGAGTAATTGTAAAATTTTAAGTTTATCGACATTAAAATTTAGATCAACAAAACATCAACAACTTTAGTTTAACCGAAGTTTCACAATAAAATACTAGGTAAAATAAAAATGGCAGCTATTTTTGGGCATCCATCTGTTTGATTCATTACCGCAACAAAAATAATTTTTCAAAAAAAATAATCAATATGAAAAAAATAATCCTCGCTCTATCTGTACTAGCTATCAGTATGGGCGCTACTGCACAAAAAGCAAAAATATACACTGCCAAAGAATACATGCGCGACGGAGATGTAAAAAAAGCACTTATTGCCATTAACGAAGCCACTACTAGCGAAAGCACCAAAGCAGATGGCGATGCATGGTTTACACGTGGCGAAATTTATGAGCAATTAGCTGAAACAGACGCTACAGCCCTTTCGGAAAGCACTAAATCGTACATGAAGGTTTTGGAAGTAAAACCAAATTACAACAAAGACTTAATAGACAATAAACTTATTCGTATTGTTCAAAAATCTTACAATGCGGGAGTTACAGCCTATGCTGGCGATCCGGGTAAGAACCAAGCATCAGATTATGATGCGGCAATTAAGTCGTTTCAACAGGTAATAGATATACGTCAAATAAATGGAGGAGCGCATTTTGCGAGCAATAAATGGCTCGATACAGTTGCTGGTCAAGCTTTAAAATATCAATCGCTAAGTGCTTTTTACAGCAAAAAAGATGAAGAGCTTGCTTTATCAACATTATTAAAAGCATCAAAAAATCCTATTGCTCGTGAAGCTTTCATCTTCTCAACAATTATTGATATTTATACAGCAAAAAATGACAACGCATCAGTTGAAAAAACAATTGATGAAGCAAAATCTTTGTATCCCAAAAATGCTGAAATCGCTCGTCAAGAAATGAATTACTATTTGCGTACTAACAAAACTGACGCATTAGTTAAAAAAATGGAAGATGCAGTAAAAGCTGACCCTGATAATTCTGTTTTACAATTTAACCTTGGTATACTCTATGGCAATTTGGCAAATCCTGTTGACCAATCTGGTAATTCGACAGCAAAACCAGCAAATTCTAAAGAATTAGAAGCAAAAGCAGAGATGGCCTACAAATTAGCTATTGATGCAGACCCAACAAAAGCGGAGTATTCATTTAATCTTGGCGCCCTTTATTATAACAATGCAACTGATATCGGTAAAAAAATGAATGACCTTGGCACTTCTGAAGCAGAAAACAAAAAATATGATGCTTTGAAAGTATTGAGAACAGCAGAATTGACAAAAAGCCTACCTCATTTCCAAAAGTCTTATGATTTATTAAACCCTAAAGCCGCTTCTTTATCTCCAGATGACATGAACACCTTCCGCAGCACATTAATGGCAATGCAAGGTATCTATGAAGTTCTTGGACAAAAAGAGAAAAGCGAAACAATAGCCAAAAGAATTGCTGAATTGGGCCAATAAGATTTCTTTTTAAAGACTATGAAGAAGCCAATGCATCGTATTTGCATTGGCTTCTTCAATTATGACCAATTATCTATTAGAATGGACTAATAAAGTCATTGAAACCGACAAAATTTTTATCCCTTTCAGACATTATAGGATGCTCACATTGCCAATCAAAGCCAAAAGAATTATAAGCTATCCCAGTATCATTGGCAGCATGATACTCTGAAGAAACTAAGTAATAAGTTAAGGTATCTTCCCTCAAAGATTTGAATCCATGAGCAAAACCTTCGGGTATGTAGAAAGCTTTGTTGTTTTCGGCTGATAAAATCTGTGAAAAACATTGACCAAAAGTTGCTGAACCTTTGCGTAAATCTAAGGCTACATCAAGTATGGCACCAACCGGACAAAAAACAATTTTGGCGTGTTGATGAGGTGGTAATTGAAAATGCATTCCTCTTATTACATCCTTATTTGAAATGGAATAATAACTTTCCTTGAGTGAAAAATATATACCCCAAGATTGAAACAAAGTATCGTTGAAAGCCTTTACAAAAGAACCTCTTGCATCAGCAAAATTCGGCAAATCAAGTATTTTTAATTCTGACACAAATTGATGTTTTAAAATTTAGCGTAAAATACAACTTATAGGATTTCCAACAATTTTTCGAAGCTTATAAAAGTGATAGACAGAAATTAAATATTCCTAGCTATAGTATTTATAAAAATATTTTCTACTTTTAAAGGAATATTTTAGCAATAGATACTAATATGAGAGGAGTAAATAAAGTAACACTCATCGGCAATGTGGGCAAAGACCCTGAAATTCAAGTTTTGGAAGGCAATCTTGTTGTTGCCAAATTCCCTTTGGCAACAACCGAAAATCATAAAGACAAAAACGGTAACACAGTATCGCATACCGAATGGCACACTGTAGTATTGTGGAGAGGATTAGCAGAGCTTGCTCAAAAATTCTTGCATAAAGGCAGTATGATTTATGTTGAAGGGCGTATTAGATACCGAAATTGGGAAGATAAGGACAAGATCAAAAGAAGTAGCACAGAAATTGTGGCTGATAATTTTGTTATGCTAGACAAACGAAAAGAAGCCGAAGGTCGTACGGATATTGTTGACGGTGCAAACGATATCGCTTTTGATAAAATGGAAGATAATTTAAGCTTTTAAATTAAAACAAGATTATAGTAAAAGAAAGACAGCAAATATTGTTGTCTTTCTTTTTGTTTCAAAGTACACAGCTTATCCACAATATTATTGTACCGTTAAAAAAACATTAAGCCCAAGGCTAATTATACTACCTTTGAAGTCATTTATCAAATGATATAACTTAATGACACCAAAAGGATTTCTTGTATCTGTAGGTGGTGCTGAAGATAAAGGCACTGACCTAGAAAAAGGAATAATAGACAGAAACAGACTCGCATTTTTCGAACTAGGTATTCTTAAAAATATTGTTTCTTTAATTGACCCAAAACAAGAACCAATTGTAGAGGTGATTACCACTGCATCAATGATACCCGATGAAGTAGCAGAAAATTATAAAGACGCTTTTAGTAAGTTAAACTGTCATAATGTAGGGCATATTCGCATCCGAAACAGAGAAGACACGAACAACCCTGAATATATGGAACGTATTCAAAAGTGTAATTGTGTTATGTTTAGCGGGGGAAACCAATTGCGCCTTTCATCAATATTTGGAGGCACCGATATCTTAAAACTTATTCGTCAAAAGTATAATGAAGAACATTTCGTAATTGCAGGAACTAGTGCAGGAGCTATGGCTATGAGCAATACGATGATTTATGAAGGCAGTGCTGACAAGGCTCATTTAAAAGGAGAAGTCAAAATAACTACAGGCTTAGGTTTCATGCAAGATGTTGTTATTGATTCTCACTTTGACAAACGTGGTCGCTTCAATCGCCTAGCTCAAGCGGTGGCAGCGCAACCAGGAGCTTTAGGCATAGGTCTTGGAGAGGATACAGGCGTTATTGTTATCAATGGGACAGAATTAAAAGTTATTGGCTCTGGTAGTGTTGTCATCATTGATGGCAAATACATTGAGTACAATAATATTGCTGATGTAAAATTCGGTCAACCTATTTCAATTGAGAATATTATAGTACACTTACTCTCCAAGGGAGATAAATTTGAAACATTAACTAGAAAATATACTGGCTTAGAAGTTGTAATAAGCGACGATGACGAATCTTAAAGTAAGCTCTAGAAATAGTTATCGATAAATAGCAATGCCTGAGGTTCCATCACTTTTGCGCATCGCACGATACATACCTGTACTGTTAAAGGGCATTTCTATGTTCCCTAATTTATCAATTGCTACAAGACCTCCCTCACCACCAATTGTTACAAGTTTTTCCATTACTACTCTTTGGCAAGCTTCATGTAATGTTAGTCCCTTATACTCTATTAAACAAGCGATATCGTAAGCTACAACACTGCGAATGAAGAGTTCACCATGACCAGTACAACTAATAGCACAAGTTTGATTATCGGCCCAGGTTCCTGCACCTATTAAAGGGCTATCTCCTACTCTTCCGTATTTTTTATTGGTCATACCGCCAGTAGAGGTAGCGGCTGCAAGGTTACTATGAATATCAAGCGCTACAGCACCAACAGTACCCATTTTTTTCTCACTGTGATCCAGTTGTACTGTTCCTTCAAGTAATGCTTCTTGCCATTGTTCATATCTAAACTGATTGTAAAAATAGGATTCGTCTTCAGTAGGTAACATTTGTTCTTTAGCAAAAACATCGGCACCAGCGCTTGACAATAGAACGTGTTCTGTACGTTCCATCACAGCACGTGCCACTTGCACGGGATTCCTTGCGATACTGATGCCACACACAGCTCCGGCTGTTTTATCCATACCATTCATGATAGCAGCGTCCATTTCATGTTTGCCAGCATTGTTAAACACGGCTCCCTTTCCTGCATTAAAAAGAGGACAATCTTCAAGACTTTTAACTGTAGCCTCTACGGCATCAAGACTAGAACCTCCTTGTGCTAATATATCAAAACCAATATCCAAAGCTGTTTTCAAGCCATTAGTATAAGCAGCATATTTTTCATCAGTCATTGTATCGGCTGATATTGTACCAGCGCCACCATGTAGGGCAATTGCAAATTGATTATTCATTTTATTAAGAAATTATCCCCTTAGGGCAAACGTTGAAAAAAGACAAAACCATTCTTCTCATACAGCACTTTAAGGCTTTTAAGTTGCCTATATTGGTCAGCATCCTGAATTTTGCTAACTAAAAAAACAGGCTTATCGACTTTAGCGGTCAGCAACCAATCCTGATTATAATAGTTTTGGTTCAAACTAGGCCGTTTTTGGCTGTAGAACAAATAAGCATAACTCCTAAAACCGAGCACTTGAATATAAACATCTTGACCTTTTTTGCTTTGATAAAATTCGATAGCT